TATATATATATATATATATATATATATATATATAATTATTCAATAAATCAATGAGTCAATTGAAGTTTTTCAATTTAATAGACATTAAATACAATATCCCTTCAAGATGTACAGATCATAGCTCTCAACATATTCTTTTTTCGTTATTAACTGTGTATCGCTATGTATTCTTTGGGAAGACTTTTTTTTTACCTTGTTCACAGTTTTGCACATAGAGTTATTTTCCTATATAACGTTAATCCACTGTGAGCTCATTTCTCCGGCTCCGGCGGCGTTCTCCACGCTGTGGTTGCCAGGGGTTGGTTGAAAAAGTCGAAGTCTCAAGCTGGGGCACAAGATAAAGCATTGGAGGAACGAACTTGGAATCAAAAGCACGGATAAGCACACACCCGGCTGAACTGCCCGGCTCGGAAAAAATCACTCGTATTTATATTGAACTAATCGGAAGTTCCTAGACCACCAGGTGAAAACAAAAAAAGATAAGCATTGGCGACTGTAAGTTAAAAATTTCAAATTTTGCTTTCTTTGAAAAAAAAATCGTAATCGGCCTCCCACGATGTATTTTCCGATTTTTAAATCTTTTTTATCTTAACAAATCTTCGTGTGAAGGCCGTCGGATGTTTTTTATAGCCCTTTTTTTTTTATTGCCTGGAGAAAGGAAAATTCTGTTATCTTTTCTTCATTTCCTTAATGTTGCCGAGATACAGTAAAGAAGGTTTTTTGACCTGGTCATTTTAAAATCTATTTCCTAAACGTTTATCTTTTATCACATCTAATCACTTAGTCAAATATTTTTGTTGGATGACTGGTAGGATTTAACAGTAATCTGATGCCCTTTTCTCTCCACAAATTTACTTATAAAAAGAAAAAGCGTTTATTTATTTATTTTTTCCTTTTCTTTTTCCCTTAGTACTTTTGTTAAACGAAACACATGTTTTTAAACTATTTTTCTATTCTTAACCGTTTTCTATTCTTAATTTATTAAAATAAAATACATATTTTACAAATCAACTTTAATAGACGCCTAGTTATCGTGTCACACCTAGACTGGTAGCTTTAGTAAGGATAAACAAACCAATCTACCTTGCCAAGTAACTCTTAGTTGGTGGGTGAGGAAATGGATTTAGGGCATTTTCAACGGCATAGTGCGAAGTGAGCGCAAAAAGCTGACCAGAACTTGAACTGGTAATCGCAGTACTCGATTGTCTGTTCGGTGCGTGTAAACGTAAGTTCTATGTCAATAGTTTCTTCTCTTGCACTCCTCACTGGTGGAAATCTCTTCTGTCCTCTTGCTTTCCTGTCGTTAGTTAGCTTCTGTCTCTTTGATTGCTGTTCTTTTAATGTCCTCTCTCTCCTCAACGTTTTCTCAGTTTCTTTTAATCTCAGTAACTCGTTGTGTCTTAGTGGTTTTATCGCCTTGCCTGGAGTGAAATAATTAAAAAAGAAAAAGAAAACAGTATCGTTGGTTCCATTTTTAACACTGATAACCTTTGCATTACCTGCACATCTTGATAAAATATTAGATAACGCGTTCAGTTCGTTCTTTTAATTAAGTAGAAATAAAAGATTTTCGATACTGAATCGAATGACATATTTAGCATTTTGATCCTTTATTTTCATCCTCCCAAAACTTTTTATCGTTCTCGGCAAAGAGCTGCTCTAGTTGTCTTTTTTCACTCCCAGCTTATTTTGAAAATAGCCGAACGGGTCGCAAGTAACTAAATTTAAAATTTAGTAGATGCGAACTATCAAAACGTAGCCCAGTTTGACAACTTTGCTTTTGGGAGCCTCAGTATCAGATCAAACTTCTCTGTTAACTGCCTGGAGAAATGTCCGGCCTTTTTCATATATTCTCGTCTGAATATAGATTAAATATTTATGAGTAGAGATATGCCGTGAGGAGTCGATAAGAATTTGGTCACTAAATTCGGTACAATACAGTTTTTCGTTAACTTACCAGTTAAATTAATGAGTTTTGCCTAAGGTCTAAAGACGAGGAAATGTTTAAAAATAAAAAAAAATATAGACTTAGCGGTTAGAGGCTTTCATGCGTATAGAGACATCGACTATGGTTTCAGATAAAAGCAAGATAAGTCACCATCATACGACAGATAGCTTGATTGGTTTCGTAACAATGTTCAACATTTTCATGGAAACACATAAAATGGTTCAACAAATAAGAAACTGTTTTTGGTCTCCACAAAAGTTCACTTTCAACTAACGTCATTCAAAAAGACAGCTGGTCGATTAGTGTGTTTTTTTCTTCTCCGAGGCATTCGTTAGTCGAGGGAGTTGTGCTCTGAATTGACTTTCACTCGCCGTGTCCGTCGTGACGTTGCTGCTTGCTGTCTCTCTCCCTGCATGTATATATTGGGAACAGACTGTTATCCATGCAGTTTGTTCACACTCTCTACGTTACTGTGATGATGAGACGGAAAGGTATGCGCCAATACTGATTCTAGTGCCTTTGCAGGAATTGACAGAATGCTGCCGAATAGACCTTTGAATTAATTTCGAGGATCTGACACAGGATTTTTCCTCGGGGTTGACTCACGAAGCTTTTTTTTCCCTCATGACCGTGGATAGCTACATGTTAATCGAGGTTTTAAAAGTCAGAATTATTCTATTCCTAAACTGATTCATAGCCCAGCCGGTCCTGCTATAGCTAGAGGGAAGAGGTGATATAGTCATACCTTTTTTAAGTGCGAAAGCGAACGCTACGGCTTGACCGGAATTTACTACGTTCACATCGCGCGTATTTTTAAAAGTGTAAATAGATAAAGTATTTTTGCTTATTCTAACATTAAAAATGAAAGAGAATAAAGTATTTACATATCCTATGTACCGAGTGAAACAGCAAAATTGTCCAAATCGTGTAACAGCAAAATTGTCCAGTTGTTTGATTAAGCTTTGCACCGTTGAAATGATTAAAGATATCTTACTGGAATTCTTCCAGGTTTTAATAACAGTATTGGGCTCTACTTTGAGCAATAAGAATGTGTAATTACTCTCCAAGATTAACAGAAGTATCGCAATGAAATTTATCATAAACGAAAATGACATGTCATAGGTAAGGATCCGAAGCTCATGAAGTATTGAAATAAACTTCATATATATATATATATATATATATATATATATATATATATATATATATATAATTCCAGGATTATTTTGTTACTTATTCAAGAGGATCTTTGTCCTCTCTAACCTTTTAGCTTTCTGTCCTTGAGTAACAAGGATTCTCACACGTTTCCCATACGATTTCTTTTTCAAGTCTTTTTTCAATGCTCGTTGGACTATTATAGGTGAAACTCATCTTTCACGTCCCAAACATCTTATGGATTGAGTTGGATCTTTTGTAATTGATCTCTTTAGCTCTAAGTTGAAATGATGATCCCTTTTGCTGTTATTACCTCCTGGCCCAGTTTTCCTCTCTACTCTTCCATCTTTTTAAAAACATATTCACCGTTCTCTTGATGGTTATTGAATGGACTTTGAAGCTGGAAGACAGAGTATGAATGTTGTTACCATTACTTAAAGCTTGAATGATCTTTTTGCTCTCACCATTGCTCAATTGGGAAGACAGTCTGACAAAGAACAATTTTAACTTGCTCTCTTTTTAGCTGAATAACTCAAAGTTTTTTCAGTGATTCGTATAACAACAAATGGTGTCAAGATGGCTAAACGTCTTACCTGAAAACCTGGAAAAAAAGAAACTCAATTAGTTTAGAGTTTTTTTTTTTTTTTATAGATATTAGACATTCTGTAGGATGGATAATTATGCTGTTAAACGATATGGACAATTTTGCTGTTACACTCGGTCTGTAATGGTAGTGTAACTAATGTCGTCGCGGAAAATTGAATCCAAGTGTCAGGTTCAAATTCTTACGGAATCTGTTTTACTTCACATTAATGCCCTTGGAAAAAGCATGACCCTATCTCCCTTCGGCTATGGGTTAGACAGAAGCGCATAGTAGGCTCTTTAGCCTTGATAATGCAGTCATACAAAACCATCCTGAAGAGTGATAGGTCCTTATGGCTATCTATTCACTGACAGACCCACTACATATATAGGCAGTTATCAGACTCGATTTTTAAGAAATTCAACTCAAACGCCTCCATCCCAGAAAATTTTTTTTAAATAATCATTTTTCTCCAAGAAAGCCACTAACATACTGTGGTCACTGACAGTAAAAACATATAAAAAAAATTAAACATTATTAAGGAATAAAAAAACAAAAGAACAGTAATTGAAAAGACAAAAGATAACGATTGACATTGTATTTAATTTTTTGAAGATCAAACTTGACTGGAAAGCAAGAAACCGTAAGTTTGTCCCACTAGCGAGAAGATAAACAAAACTGTTATCATAGAACTCACTGTTATTGTACATTTTATGAAGAAAGAATTGAGAATATGTCAGATGTAGTGATTTTTAGCTCCACTGTAGTACAGAGCAGGCTAGCTTGATAGGAATCAGATGAAGACATCTCCAACACGGCAGATAGTTGACATACTCAGAATATCTCAGTTAAATATTGAAAAACATTTACATCAGCTTCGTTATTTTGGTCACATTGATGGCCGGCTTCCGTGTAAGTTAAGCGGAACATAAAAGAAAAATAATTTCGTGCACGATGCTTTATTGAAACATAACGAAAATCTTCCGATTTTCGAACAAACTCTGACTGGGGATAAAAAGGAATACTTTACAAAGTGGAAGAGATCGTGAAGCAAGCATAATGATCTGTCAATATATATAACAAATCTTCGTTCTTCAGCCGCAGAATAGGATTAGAAAAGTAATAGTAAATGATGAATTTGAATACATTTTTAAATGCCATATCTCTTGAGAATAGAGGCGATCATGTCTCTCCAAGTATTCCGTTTTAATTTATCAATGAATTGCCATCACCTCTTAGGAAAGGTAGTGAGGTAAGTTTCCCAATACCATCTCTATGGTTTCGAATTCAAAATAGTGCTTCTAAACAGGGGGTTTACGACCATAATATGTTGAAACAGCGGTTCCCGTATGTTCACCGAAGTTAACCAACATCGAGCCTGGCCAGTATCAAGATAGGTAACCGTTTGCGAAGACCAGGTTCTGTAAGCCTGGATGTTCGTGTGGTGCAATGGATAATGGTTCGGGGTTGTTAATCGGAGAGCCGAGTTCCAATTCCAGTTGGGTTTGTTATATTCACTTACGCGCAAATAACCTTGGAAAAGGAATGAATCCACATCTTCTTTCACCAAATATATAAATTATTATTATCTGAAAAAATCTTACAATCTAAAAATATTTTCTGGCTTTAAATAACCTGCAAACTTTTTATATGGCGTAGAAAGTGGATGAATGAATCATTTCTATACTGGCATTCAACGAAGTCTACTATTTAATCCATAGTTGGTGGGGTGCAAAGAGATATAATCATCTTTATTATTTGCATGAAAGTGAATGCAACAGACTAGGCTGATTTCATTTTCCCCACCGATACCCGGTAAGCAGGACGTACCGCTCCTGAAACAAAATAGACGCATTTGTTAATGAATAACACGAACTCTTTCCTTACTTAACATCACACGACGTCGTTGATCAGAAACTTGGACATTGTATTCTGCTTTGCAATATCTAAGAGACTGTCGAAGTCTTCTCTTGAGAAGTTGTTTATATAACTGTGTATTACGATTGTTTCCTTCGCTTGAAAATTCGGATATAGCTGTGGAGTCAGGGGATTCTGCATTCGGAGGATGGGGTTACATCTTCATCTGGCTACCCTTGATGGTCACGTGAGATATTGAGTGCAAATAATATTCTCGCATAATACTACACTTTCAATTAAAGAATGAAGAAATTATTCAACGAAAAGTCCCGAGAATTACATTTATATTGTTATTTCGGAGAATCATTTATTCTGATATTTACAGAAATATTTGCATCAATTAATTGATTAACTGAGCGGATCAATAAATATTAAAATTATCTGTGAAATAATTTTGTCCAACATAACGTATATCTTACAAATGTTACTTCCCGTAATTCATATCTGGATTCATCGCCATTAAAACAGGTTATGGTCCGAGACAAACTTTGTTTGCTTTATTTCTGTTGCTTTGCTTTCCTTGAAACAAACTAGTAAAGAAAAGGTTTCCTTTTCTGTATATATATATATATATATATATATATATATATATATATATATATATATATATGTGTGTGTGTGTGTGTGTGTGTGTGTGTACGAAATATTGACACGGATGTTAACATAGAGTGAAAACAGTCTTCTTCATGGTTGAACGCAGTCTTGAGGTAATCTCTCTCTCCCCCCCTCTCTCTCTCTCTATATATATATATATATATATATATATATATATATATAAAAAAACAGAAGATGTCTGTCTGTGTGTGTGTATGCGACAAACTAGGTCCAAAATCGGCTTTTGACATTTAGCCAATAGTTTCTTTATTCCATCCTAAATTGGCATTCGAACAATCTTTGATGTAAAGATTGTTTAAGAAGGATTATTGAAGTGTTAAAAGGGAAAAAAATTCCCGAAGAACCTCGTATTAACCCCAGCTTTACAGTAAACGTGCGAAGAAGGAAGGGGCGTTCCCGCGTTTGCACTTCAGATGAATCAAACCCTGACGCTTCATCCCTTTTTTGAACAATGCCATACTATTTGAAAGTTATTACAGCCATAAAAATTCATTGGACATCTAAAACATTGAAAAACTTTAACCCCGAGCAACGACCGCACAAGAAGATTTTATCGATGGAATTCTTTTATTAAGAACAATCAAACACTCGGGAAGGACATACTGTAAAAATATGAAGTGCGGGAGTAGCTTAGTATACCAACAGATAATGCATGCAAGCGAGGACGCATGCAGACCTTTCTAGACAGGGGTTGCGGGTATACAGGGGCGTGCGGTTATAGAATTGCAGCCATGTACACCCGGGCAACGCTAACCTTACCTAACTAATATATATATATATATATATATATATATATATATATATATATATATGATAAAAAGGCTTAAACACTAATATTCCATGGTCATAATTTATTCCATTGGAATCGTAAATACGATCCAATTCATCAGACCTACAAATTCAAAAAGAAAACAGAAAAAACCAACTCCGGAAATAAAAACAGAATTTAGAGAGAGTGTAAGTATGAGGAGGAGGGAGATTAAACCTTAACAGAGAGAATTTTAGGAGAGATGGGTGGAAGGGGTTTAATTAAGAGAAAAAAATGAATGTTGAATGATGTCTAATGCATAAAGATACATTTCGTGGTGACATACACACACCATAGACAATCTAATGTTAGAATAAGAGGGAGGGAAAGACGAGGTGGGGGAGAGAGATGGGACGAGGGAAAGTAAAATTGCGTTTACTTAAAGGGCCGCTTTGTAATTGAGAAAATTTGACAAATTTAATATCGACTACAGGTTACAAATCAAATATAAATATATGAAGATAAATATAACGATTATCTGATCCAGCAAGGACCTATATTTCTATGTTCCAAAACACATGCGAATATACACAATAACATATACATGTATATACATACACATAGGCGTGTACCCACATACACACATACATATACCCATATACACACATATAAAAATATAAAAATATATTCACATATCCACACATACACATATTTATTAAAAGAATGAGGTGGAAACCCTTTTTCTCCCGTAATCCCAAAAGTGACCAAGAACACATATTTTCTATGTATATTTTCAATATATATATATATATATATATATATATATATATATATATATATATATATATATATATATGTTAGTACTAGTAGTAGTAATCTTATAAGTATAAGAAATTATACTGTTTAGAAAACCTTCGGTGTCTTGATTTGCAAATAATCAAACCAATACCAAAGGGGAAAAAAAGATATAAAAAAAAGAAAGAGCCAAGAACATTTACGTTAGCCGAAAATAATCGTCTAGCATGCAAGTCGAAAGAAAAAAAAACCGATACGAGTAAGCAAATAACTAAATAAAGTACTCAATACATTAAGTAGAGCAGACCTAGTTAAAGCTAGAGAGCCAGACAAACCTACCAAGGTTTAACCTAAACGGATCGTCATGGAAGCCAGCCTTCCCTGACGATCCGCTTATATATATATATATATGAATTATTCACACAAAACAAAAAACAAAAAAAGTTAATGATTTAATTGGCGAGAAATCCATCATCGCAACGAAAATATATGTATTGTTGTATCCGAAAATGCTATTGAAAATGAGTTATTGTTTTTGGAGCTTGTAGTAAAAATAAGAACTAATACGGCAGAAATTTATGGAAACAAGGATCAATTCATTCATAACGGATTCGGAGGTTTTTGTATATTATTTGAATTGTTTGCGATGATGGATTTCTCACCAATTAAATCATTAACCTTTGCTTTTGCTTTTGTGTGAATAATTCATGAATTTGTAAATTGATTGCACGTTTATCGTAATTTAAATAACTGATCCAAGTGCGACTTTTGGATAATAAGTGCGACATTACTGTAATTATTGAACAATATAGTTCATGCCACTTTGACAGAAAATTTACTAGTAAAAAATACGTTCATCACCATATTTATATGAACGCACAACATTTAAAAATTTAAAATCAAACTCAGCGTTGCTACTGTGCGCTCCAAAAACAATAACTCATTTTCAATAGCATTTTCGGATACAACAATACATATATTTTCGTTGTCCTCTTATTACTAAGAGAAAAAAAACAAGAACAACATCTATTCTATACCTGAAGATGTCTGTAGGAACAGACGAAAGCTTGTAGTAAAAATAAGAACTAATACGGCAGAAATTTATGGAAACAAGGATCAATTCATTCATAACGGATTCGGAGGTTTTTGTATATTATTTGAATTGTTTGCGATGATGGATTTCTCGCCAATTAAATCATTAACCTTTGCTTTTTGCTTTTGTGTGAATAATTCGTGAATTTGTAAATTGATTGCACGTTTATCGTAATATATATATATATATATATATATATATATATATATATATATATATATATACTTCTTTAAATGACTATATTGCAAGAATAGAGTGAACCACAGTGTTCACAGTGTTGTTCTGAACACGTTGGTTTTCACAGGGGTAAGTTGCCACCCTACATCCAGCCTAATTTGAATTCAGAATGGTTCTTCTTTCCAACAGATTGTCAAGAAAGGTACGAGAGTCAAATTTTAACCATAGTTAGTGATGGTGAGGGAGAAGAGATGGATTCATACAGGCGCATATATATATATATATATATATATATATATAATAAATTAATATATATTTAAATGTGGTTTCTTCGCTACACAGGAATTACCATATTGCAAAAACTTCAAATTTAATTATATAATTAAATTAAAAGCATTAGTTCTGTTTTGTCTTCAAGCGAATTTTGGAATATATATATATATATATATATATATATATGTGTGTGTGTGTGTCTGTCTGTGTGTGTGTGTGAAAATTTAACTATTATAGTTTTCCTATTGTCTTTTACATTTATATATATATATACGAGGCTCATTCAAAAAATAAGGTGAATTTTTCGGTATAAGGACTTCTAATACAGATAGAAGCTTACTTTTTTTTTCAACTTAGTCTCCCAGCACTGTCACGCACGTTTCCCTTTTGTGCACAAGCTTCCGTATTCCCTCAGCGTAAAAATCGCTCACAACACTTTTGACTTCATCGTTAAACTTCGTGCCTCTCGTGAACGCTTTCAAGGGACCAAACAGGTGAAAATCTGAAGGGGAAAGGCCTGGGCTGTAAGTGGGGTGAGGGAACAGTTCCCAGCCCAGCTCGTTGATGGTCTGCACCGTTTGGGCTGTTGTGTGAGGCCTTGCGTTGTCATGATGCAAGATGACTCCTTCTGACTGATGACCCCTGCGTTTGTTTTTTATGTATTTCTTGACCTGCCTCAGGAGTTCACAGTAGTTCTTCTGTCAGACAGAATGAGGTCATTGACTGATTCGATCACCTCAGGAGACCTCACTTCTGTAGGCCTCCCAGGCCTGTCTTCATCCTCAACACTGCTCTGTCCTTCTTTAAACA